TCATGTAATAAAATGCAGTTTAAATTGCAGTTTATAGACAATAGCACAGTGCAGTAGTCAAGGCTGTAAGGCTAGTGAAGTATATCAGACTTATTCACAGTTACTGTGGCAGGTAGGTAATGGAGAAAGGTGGTGAAAATAAATGTATTGTCCAAACAATAGGTGAGTCTCAGCTCTGCTCGCTATTTTAGAAATTGTTCAGACTTTTTCAAAACGCCTTACAAATGCAGCCTCCAAACTCCATTAATGGCTGTGCCTGGAAATCAGGCAGCTAATCACTCTCAGATAGGTGCAACTCCAAACCAAACACAGCAAAGCTCAAAATGTTGGCAGCTGTTTCTAAAAAGCATGGTATGCAGAAGTCTTCACAGCACTCTCCACTTTCAACTGTGATCAAATAGTCTGAAAGGTTTTTTTCTTAATGATGTGTTGCAACACTGTTCTGGAAACTAATCTGGCAGATAGTGGTAGTAAAATTCTAGGTCTACTAGGACCTGGCTGAGGAAAAACATTGAAGTTGTTCCTGTAGCTGGGAAATTTAGCCCATTGCCTGAGTTTTTATCTTTTCAGCCACACTGAATCACAATATGAATGATGTTTCAGATATGACCCATGCTTTACTGATAACAAGTTGTTTTACTATCTAGCTCTCATAAACGCACATCTTCTCTTCCCTGTGGAAGAACCATCTTTTGGACAAACTGAGGGAAGCATTCCTACAGAAAAAATGATTCTGTATTTGTGTAGAAGTGCTTTTAAGTAAGGAAGAAAAAAACATACAGAGGAAATCTGAATTGTGTCTAAATCATGTCTTTTGTGCTCTCATTAAGGGATTAGAATCAGGCATGGAAAAATCCTGTTTTTTCTTTAAAAAAATTTGTTTAGATGGGCTTCAACCATTCCTTCAAGTATTCTAATGCTACCAAAAGAGTTTAGACCCAATCATAGTTTACCATTTTCACTCTATTTACAAGTATTTGTTAAGAGTCATATTTTAAAACCAAGCAACTTGCAGTGCTGGAATGCTTACAAGCAGTAACTGTATGATAGCATTGCCTGAACAGAATGAAAGAAATATGTCAAAACATGCTAAGAAATAAAAGACATCAAGAAGTCCATCTTGCCCCAAGACCTGTAAGGATCATGGTCTGGACAATGCCAAATCTCACCAGTATCCAACAGTCTGACACAAAAAGCCTATTTATTTGAGGCTTTTGTCATTGGCAATATACTTTGTAAATGGCATATTTCTAAAGGTAAGAGCCGGAAAGCTGGCATAGTTTGACACAGAAATTAATAAAATTTCACAAGTTTATCACAAGAGAAAGACTGGTCTTAAAATTCATCAGCTCTCCTGGGAAATGTTCTCTTTGGGTCAGGCTGCCGCTTGGAATTAACCAGCGTGTAGTGGCAGTCTGTAAAACTCTCCTGCTAACTCTGAACCAAGGATATGTCTTCATCAGCTGAGCTGCTATTAAAACCCTCAGTGAAACCCACAGAGAGGTAAAAAAGGCCAATTCTAATGTTGCTTCTGCCTGTTTTACATATGTCTCCACTGCTTTTTCCTCTACAGAATTTTCTCCTTGGTCTAAACAAAAAGAGAATCAGAGACAATGTGCTACAGTTTATAAGTTCACTTCAGATTTTTTTAACAGACATTATTTGTGAATTATCACAATATTTTAGTGCTAGTCTTACTGCTACAGTTTCATAGGGTGCAAGCTGAACAGGCTAACCTTGAATATTTTTAATTCATTTATTTTCCAGTGTCATTCCAAGTTTAATGTGTATATATCTATGGAACAAAGTGAGAAGGTGATCTCTTGATTACTGACCTTTTGAATCGTGACACATGGGACAGAGAGCTTGGAACCATGAGTAAAATAGCTTGCCTTGTATCAAGCACTTAAAAATCGTAGAATCATAGAATCATAGAATAGTCTGGGTTGGAAGGGACCTTTGAAGGTCATCTAGTCCAAACCCCCCTGCCGTGGGCAGGGACATCTTCAACTAGATCACATTGCTCAAAGCCCCATCCAGCCTGACCTTGAATGTTTCCAGGGTTGGGGCATCCACCACCTCTCTGGGCAACCTGTGCCAGTGCTTCACCACCCTCAGTGTAAAAAATTTCTTCCCTCTATCTAGTCTAAATCTACCCTCTTTTAGTTTAAAACCATTCCCCCTTGTCCTGTCGCAACAGGCCCTGCTAAAAAGTTTGCTGTCATCTTTTTTATAAGCCCCCTTGAAGTACTGATAGGCTGCAATAAGGTCTCCCCGAAGCCTTCTCCTCTCCAGGCTGAACAACCCCAACTCTCTCAGCCTTTCTTCATAGGAGAGGTGTTCCATCCCCCTGATCATCTTCGTGACCCTCTTCTGGACCCGCTCCAAAACGTCCATGTCTTTCTTGTGCTGAGGGCTCCAGGGCTGGATGCAGTACTCCAGGTGAGGTCTCACCAGAGCAGAGTAGAGGGGCAGAACCACCTCCCTCGACCTGCTGGCCACGCTGCTTTAGATGCAGCCCAGGATACGATTGGCCTTCTGGGCTGCGGGCGCATATAATTCAGTGTTGTTCATGTGCAGCTTTTCATCCCCCAGTACCCCCAAGTCCTTCTCGCCAGGGCTGCTCTCAATCCCTTCATCCCCCAGCCTGGATTGATACTGGGCGTTGTCCCGACCCAGGTGCAGGACCCTGCACTTGGCCTTGTTGAACTTCATGAGGTTCACACAGGCCCACTTCTCCAACCTGGCCAGGTCCCTCTGGGTGGCATCCCATCCTTCAGGCATGTTGACCGCACCACTCAGCTTGGTGTCATCTGCAAACTTGCTGAGGGTGCACTCGATCCCACTGTCTATGTCATTGATGAAGATATTAAACAGTACCGGTCCCAATATGGACCCCTGCGGGACGCCACTCGTCACCAAGGACATTACCATTTCTTCCTCTTCACTATGACGATTGCAGCAAGGTAGGCGTAAGTCATCCTAAGGGAGAAAGTGCAGTTACCTCTGAGCAGAAATTAGGGATTGTCTAGTTCCATAACCTTAAATGTTTAAATCAAGCAAACAATCACGTAGTGTCCAAAACACCCATAGCAAAAAGCATCATCAGAAAAAGCTAAATTTAATCAGTCATCTGGAGCCTGTTCCAAATCCCTCTGTAGTACATAAAAAAAAAAGATTGCCATTACTTTCAGTCAGTTTTGGACCATATGCAGGTTTCTCTCAGGCTATGCCCTGAAGCATGAGTACAAAGAACTGGGTGGGAACTGGCATACCTATGATTTTGTGTGATTAGTAAGAACTCAATTTTTGCCCCATTTGCAAAAATAACTTCAGGCCACCTACCTGAAAATATGAAACGGACTTCTACTCACAGTGTTTCTACAAAAAAAAAAGTCAAGACCATAAGCATGCAAGATGTCCCTCACAGCATCCTTCTGGACAAGTTGTCCAACTGTGGAATGAGCGGGTCCATGGTGCACTGGGTGAAGAACTGGCTGAAGGGCAGGGCTCAAAGGGTCATAGCGAATGGGGCTACATCTGGCTGGCAACCGGTCACCAGTGGTGTTCCTCAGGGTTCAACTCTAGAGCCAGTCCTGTTCGATATGTTTTATCAGCGATCGGGATGCAGGAGTTGAATGCACCATTAGCAAGTTTGCTGATGATATCAAACTGGGAGGTGCATGTTGACTCTCTTGAGGGACAAGAGGCCTTGCAGAGGGATCTAGATAGATTGGAGCATTGAGCTATGATTAATGGGATGAAATTTAAGAAGTCGAAATGCCAGATTCTGCACCTAGGACAGAGTAATGTCGGGCACAAGCATAAATTGGGAGAGGAGCGGCTGGCGAGCCAGCCCTGCAGAAAGGGATCTGGGGGTGCTGGTCGACAGCAGGCTCAAGAGTCAGCAGCGTGCCCTGGCAGCCAAGAGGGCAAACCACATCCTGGGGTGCATCAAACACAGTATAACCAGCCGGTCAAAAGAGGTGATTATCCCACTGTATTCAATGTTGGTGCGGCCTCACCTTGAATACTGTGTGCAGTTCTGAGCCCCACAATGTAAGAAGGATGTGAAGGTCCTTGAATGCTTCCAGAGGAGGGCAACAAAGCTGGTGAAAGGGCTGGAAGGAATGTCCTATGAGGAGCAGCTAAGGACTTTGGGCTTGTCTAGTTTGGAGAAAAGGAGGCTGAGGGGCGACCTCATTGCCCTCTACAGCTTCCTGAGGAGGGGGAGTGGAGAGGGAGGTGCTGATCTCTTCTCCCTGGGATCCAGCGGTAGGATGTGTGGGAAGGGCTCAAAGCTGCAAAAGGGTGGTCAAACACTGGAACAAGCTTCCTAGAGAGGTGGTCGATGCCCCAAGCCTGTCAGTGTTTAAGAGGCATTAGGACAATGCCCTTAATGACATGCTTTAACTTGGTCAGCCCTGAATTGGTCAGGCAGTTGGACTAGATGATTGTTGCAGATCCCTTCCAACTGAAATAGTCTGTTCTGTTATTCTATTCTATTCTATTCTAAGATGTAGAATTTATAAAGGTGTATTTTGTGTGTGTACACATGTGCATGCACTCCATTAAATGTGGACATACTATGAAAATCACAAATACTGCTGCTATTTTACTATTATGCTATAATAAGTAAGCAAAACCTAACCCAAGTATCTTTGCGTGAAACCGTAAGATAATGCAGTACAAAATAATCAAACCACTCTGTGCCTCTTGGTTTAGAGGCTGGAGGACTTTTCCTTGTTGCAGGATGCCTATAATGGAATAAAAAGGTTCCTTGCCCCTCTCCCTTTCTCAGTAACTGTTTAGGGAGCCTAACTTGGCTATGTTCCTGTATTTAGCTCCCTGAAGTTAAAGGAGATTAATTCAGGCCTCTTGAGACTGTTGGTAGCATATTCCTCTACCTACAATCATTGCACAGAGAATTCACAAGGTAGATATAGACAGATGAAGGCAGAAAATCCTGGGGAAATAAAGGGATGTCAGTGTCTAACACGATGGGCAGTGGCAACCCAGCCACTGTCAACACAGAGGGCCCTGAAGAGGACCCACGACCCCCATTTGAGGAGCTGGCAGAACTTTCCCTTATATGCCGCCTCTGTATTACTTTGCATGTATTTTCTAGATACAGCAACTTTTTAGTGGCTTTATTGGCAGTGCACTAAGAAATATCTTTAAGACAAGTTAATTCAGGCTCTCTTAGCCTTGATAACACCTGCTTAAAATATGCTTCTTTCTATGAATGACAGGAGTACAGAGATTATATTACGATAGTTCCATGACAAGTGACTTCCAAAAAGCAACATAGAAGGCTATTTTTCAGAAGGGCCATTAACCATCTGGCAGCCCATTTTCCACCCTTCATTGTAAGCATGATAATCTGAACAGTATTCAAGAAAAAGGCAGATCGAAGCCTCTGCTGTTTCCACAGAAAATGCACCCTGACAACTCCATAAACAAAGGTTTTCAAGTGGAAAACATGTTTTACATTTATATCTCTCATGCTGTAAAGCTCTGCTTATTTTTTACATTTTCTGTACAAAGCCTTTTTTTAAATAGGGCTTAGAGATTATTCATTTTGCAGGTGTGTTCTCATTCAGCACAGACATGGAAGACACAATCACCTAATAAACTAAAGGGAATCTATGATAGTGTTGATCTTTTGTGTGTCATGCCATTGTAAGTATGGCAATAATGCTGCTGGTGACTTACGCTGCTGTAACACTCACTAAACCTGCACAAACACAACAGTTAGGACTCAGTTTTCCCCAACACAGTTGGCAAAGGTGTACAAAATCACAGTCTTTGCTCCTGTTCTCCATCTCAGAACTTACCTAGAACCTTGCAGGTTAAAATTTTGCTTCACATGGGGCAAGGCTATTGTGTAGCAAAATGCTATTTTACCTGCTTGTCAGCTGAGATCGCTGAGATCTGAGATCTGAAGTGGCTCTGCCTCTGCTGTGGTGCTGGTACTCCTTTTGGCTTCCCCTTGACCTCTGTGCCTGTGATCACCAAAGAGAGGACCTGACGAGCATGTGATATGGTCTAGTGGTTTGCATGCCTGCGCTTCCCTCCCACGGAGGGGAAGATGCAGAGGGATGGTGGTTTGAATCATATGGATTTGCTCCAGTATGCAGCTGGAGCATTGCCAGGGCACACGCTGGACTCGGAACTGGTCTCTGACCCACCCATTTGACTGTAGCCCAAGTGACTCATTCTACAGAAAATAACATTGCCAAAAGAGAGAAAGTAACCCTCATGCTGAGTGACCAACAAGTACAGTTGGTCTAACGCCCTTGGGGCAGGGAAGGAAGAATCTTGCTGGGTTTGGCACTGGGTTAAGGTCCCCGCCCTTTTAAACTCTCATGATGTCTTTCTAAGGCTGAAAATGGGAATGATATGATGCTGTAAATTGCTGATCATAAAACAAGATGGAGACTGATGTGCAGCTACCCACTGTGTCCCAAGCTACTGTCCAAATCACTATCTCGCCTTGTTGGGCCAAAGTGTCAATGGATTTATGTGGTAGGAAAATCCAGTGAACAATCAAAGCATTTAAAAACAGGCCAACAAATATGAAGCATTTGGGAGCAGCAGCTGATGTTCCCTCAGAGGTGTAACACATGATTTCTACAATCATAAAAATATATTTAATTTTGTTTATTTAAACCAGCCTGTGTTTTGCTGTGAGCATTAATCATCTGGTGTCACACAATAGCACACTAAATGTCACACATAGAACCGCATCTCCTGCGACACTGTTACGAATATTCTGGATGTACTCCACAGCTGTAGAAAGAAGTACTTCATGCTTTGCTAGCTATAGAGCAAACACACTCTTGCAGCTTCATTTTGTATTCAGTAGCTCTACAAAACAGCAAGGCAGCATGCAAAATGAGGAGGAATACTCCTGAAGCTCAGCTGCTGATCTTTCACAATTCAACTGCAAAACTATGAGGTCTGAAAGAACACATTAAAGTACAAGTATCAGTAGAAATATTAAACTACCTTAATCAAGAAAATTACATCTGGACACTTAGTTTTTTAATAAGATTTGTTTGCCTGAAGAAGCAACAACAGCACATAAC